CCGCGACTCCTGTGCGTCCAGTGCTCCTCGGCCTCGTTGATCCCGTGACCCAGGAGCGCGCAGAAACGTCCACCCGCCGGCTGGCCCTAATTGTCGCCCACGTATCTGCAAAAGTCCGGCTAAGCCAGGCACCGGGAACAAGGCGGGGGTGGTGAGCGCCGCGCCCACACCTTTACTGTAGAGAAACCAGCGCTCCAAGTCCCTGGCACCGTGGGCGGCAGTGGATACCACCCGGACCCCGGTCGACCATCCCCCTGGAAAACCCAGGGCTCTCCAAGATGGGCAGAAAACGCGGGGGCGCACCTCATCTCCTGCAGCATGCGAAATTATAAAGGAACCAGTTAATTACTGTGTCCTTGTTCTAACTTTTCTCTGGTCCCGTCGGTCACTTTGGCTGACCCCACCCTTATGGGTCAGCCATGGGGGCTCTTCAGCCAGAGCGAAAATTCCAAACCAAACATTCGCACTCCACCAGCCGGTCTTTTCTCCCAACGCACCTTGTAACCTTACAAGATGCCTCTCCGCAAAAAGCTCGGGAGGAGCAACCGATGGGGAAAGACAGCTGATGTGTAGCGGGGCCCCTCGAACCCGAAAAGGCGCAGCGATTTAACGAGCTAGTATTTCCCAGGCTGCTTTCGGCGGCGCCCCAAGGCAACCCGGCAAGTTGCACCAGAGCCAGTGCCCCGACGCGGATTCTGCGCCCGCCCGCCCCCGCCAGTTTACAAAGCAAACTTTTCTCGGAGTGGTTTTTGGATCGAAAGACGCGCAGAGTGCGCCCATCAACACCTAAACAGTCTCAAACAGTAGAAACACGGATTGATCGGAAATTTTCAAATATTATAATTGGCTTTAATTAAACACAGTGCGTTCTAATTAACTCTGAAATTTTAGCATGCTTTGGGACACTGGTGTCTGATTTGATATTGTCAGTCCAGATGTCCTAATAAAATTCAATCCTCCACTCAAGACTTCAATATTCACTAAGAACAAAATGCAAATGAAATGTAAAACCTAAAGTATCGCCAAAGGTATAATCAAGAAAGGTGTCTCAAAACTTCTCACTTTTTATTACGCAGTAGTTAAAAAATGCATATTACATCCTAACAAGACCTCTCCAGCTCACTATAAATCTTAACTCTTTCTTGGGCGGAGATTGGAGTGCCCTGCCACTGGCTTTAAAGGTTAGGGAAGGGGATAGCCAGACCCCACGACATAACTGAATACCCTCATGGGTTAGCTAACGGAGCGCAAAAGTTTGCCAATGAAACTGGTTTGAAACACAGGTTGGTCAACACCGGCAAAGGAGTTTGGGTGGTAGAGAGTCAAGGGGTGAGGGTGAAAGGGATGGCACAGGGCTGATGTCCTCTGTTGCGGCCATCCTCGGCCGCACCGTAACAGGGCGTGTACACAACCATTCCCGCGTGCAAAAGTGGGGCGGAGGATGGCAGCGGTCCGCCGTGGTCACCCGCCCGGGGAATTATCTCGGCTGCGGGGACCGCGACTGGCTGGGAGAGAAGGGACAGCACACCGCCCGTGGACATAATGTCAAACCGTCCCCCTTTCCCACCCGCACAAACCCTTCCGCCCACGTCAGCATGACTTCTAAGGGGTCAGAGCCTGCGGACTGGGTCCGGCGGCGCGCAGCGGCGGGGCGGCCCCTCCAGTGGAGCCCCGCGCGGTTTGCTCAGGGGGTGCGCCTTTAGCGACACATTTGGCCGCGACGTGATCCTTTACCAATCCGAGGGGCTGCTAAATTTACAGTCCAGAGTGAGCCCTATTAAAAGGAAGCTATTCCCACATTAAACATGTGTATGTTTTCCATACTAATGGAGTCACTTAAAGCTGTTGCTAATTTTAACTTTTTTAAAAGGCCACACTCTGGACATTTGCATTTTCTTTAGGATATTGAAATGAAGAGAAAACTGCTGGGCGGCGAGGCTGCCCAGGGCATAGCTAGGGGCCATGCAGAAATAAAAACAGATAAAGAAAAGAAGAAAGAAAGAAACCCGCTTCTCCTCTAGACTATTAATAAGCAATTTGTCCCGCTGAAATTTACATTGCAAAGCGGAGCTCGCCGGCAGCCGCGGCGGCTGGGCGGGCGCGGGCTGGAGCGGTGCACCCCGCGCTGGGCGGTCCTGGCCGCCCTCGGGGGCGATATATGGGCAGCTTTGCTCCTGGGGTCCTTGCCTCCGCGTGGGCGACCCTCACTCCACCCACGCCCATCTGCTCGCCAAGTGCCCCGCCTGCGCCGGGAAAGCGAGGACTTGGGGCAGCGCGGATGCCACCCGGCCCGGGCTTCAGCCTGAATGGGATCTGTAAAGAGGAACCCCGCGTCACGCAGGGACGCCCCGGACTCGCGGATCTCCATCCGCCCGCAAATATCGGCCAGACCTTACATTTAGAATGCCAACAGTAAGCTTAATGTTTTTCCTGCTGAATTCTGCTGCGCTGCTCCAAGTCAGCCGCAAGTGCGGACGGAGACCGGCTCCGCGCCCTCCCCCTCGCCCCACAGCCTCCCCGCGGCGGCGCCCCCGCCCGCGCGCGCCCGGCGGAGCCGGCTCCGAGCCTAGCGTGAGGCCAGGGCGCCATCTACGGGCGCCGTGCGGCTCCGGGCGCCGCCGCCTCCCTCTCCCCTCCCGGAACCCACGGCTCCTCCCTGCGCCGCCCGCCGCCCGCGCTCGCCCAGAGCCCGCGCTGAGATGCCCGCCACGTACCGCGATTACCCGACGCTCCCGGTGCCGTCTGGCTCATGAAACGTTGATTGCTAGTTATGAGAACTTTTAAGCACTGTATTAAAACTTTTTAAATGAAAGCGCTATCCTGCCTGCAATTTTTAGGCACACGATTAAAATAAATGAAATGTAAAAGATAATGCGATTTGATTTGTTAGTCTAACTCTGCGATTTGAGACTTGATGTCCCCCAAGACCAGGCGAGCTTTCCCCTTTTATTTATTTTTATTAAAACATCAATCTGCGCTGGAGCTGGGTGAACTCGGTTTCACCTGGAGAACATAAAATTCTCCATACCAGAGAAATAAGCACCTTTCATAAATCAGCGGTATTCCTGACACATCGATCAATTTTTGGTTGTTAATCCGAAAGGAGGAGTTTTAATTGCTTCCTGCATTCTCGTCCAGGCGGCTCTGCGTTTCGACCTTTCCCCCCCCTCCTCCCCTCCAAGGGTCTCACTTTTGTATTCGGGGAGGGCGGAGATGGAAAAATCCTGGGTCCTTCCACGGAATCTCCGGAACCCCCAATACCCGCCTGCGCCCGTGCGCGCTCCCGCCGAGCCGAGGGCCCCTGGCAAGCGCTCGCCTCCCTGCAGCCCTGCCAGGCAGGACGCGAGGAAAGGCACCCGGAGCCCGCGAGGCTGCCCAGGCAGTGTTCGCCGGCCACCGAGACCCTGCCAGGGCGCGGCGCAAAAGTTCACTGCAAGGCCAGGCCCGAACGCCGCCCACCGCCCTGGGCTCCGCGAACCCCAGTCCCACCGCGCGCCTCCGCTGCCGCGCCCGCAGGCGAGGAAAGCGCACCGCGGCCCGGGAGGCCCCCCCCTGCGCTCAGCGCCAGCCCGCGACGCGCCAAGTTCAACTTTGCCGGCCCGAGGCCTCTGGGGGCCGCAGGCTGGGGCCGGGCGGGGCCCCCGACGGGATCGCGAGCCAAGCCCGTGCGCTTACCTGGGCCGCTCATTCGACGGGCGTCGCTGGGTGCCCGGCCGCGAGGTGTTGGCGGCGCCGGCGGCGGGCCGGGAGGGTGTGCGGCCCGGCGCCTTCCCACGTTCCCACCTCCCCCCCACTCCCGGGAGAGCCCACGGGCCGGGCCGCGAGCGCGCCAGTGCGCACGCGCCGCGCTGCCTTCCACCGCGGGAGGCGGCGGCGGCGGGCAGGCGGGGGCGCGAGGAGGTGCCCGCAGGCGGTCCCGCGGCCGGGCTGCCGCCGCGCCCGGAGCCGCAGCTGCGCCCCGAGCTCGCAGCGCGGGAGGACCACGGGGCTCTCCCTGGGCCGGGTTCGGGCCCCTCCGCGGGGAGGCCTTTTCAAGGACCGGAGCCCCGCTCCTATTTCGGGGAACTGGGGGTGTCCATAACCCGCCTTGTCCGATAGAGCACGCCAGACCCGGGCGAGCGGGCCACCGGTCCAGAAGCGGGGCCTGGGGCAGCGCGAAGCCGTCGGTGTAGGCGCGTGCACTCTCCGGAGCAGAGGATGGCGCCGGGACCCCCGGGCTTTTTTGCTAATGTTAGGTGAGGGCACAGCTTCCCCTAGGTCTGCATGCTGCTGATAACCTAGTGGCAGCACGCGACTGCCGGCGCTTACAGCGGGGGCCGAGACCCACCAAGGGAGAGTGGAGCGGGGTGCTCCCAGACAGCCACCGAGAAAGAGGGCGCCTGGCCCGCCCCAAGAGGGTTCTGCGTCCAGCGCACCGTCAGCGGACGTGCTTCGGCTGCTCTGGGAGAATGAGGCCAGGCCGTCGGGCCACCGCCTACCCTGCCTAAAGTGCTCCCCAGCAAATGACCAGACATGGGACCTTCGCCCTAAGCATCCAGAGGGGCTGCAGGAGTCAAGAAAAGGGGTCGGGGGGCATGCCCTCATCTCCGAGCTGCTGGCTGGCTCTCGGCTCTGTGCCCTGCCCAGTGGCTGCTTATTTTTCTTTGCATAAACCCTTTTGTGAGAACCTGGTCCTATCTCCCACTACTATTCTTATCTGCTTCCCCAAAACCTAAGTGCAAGGTCGATACCTGAATACATACCACTTTCTTAGCCCCCAGGTTTTTCTCCAAGCAGAAAGCACTGGTGTGTGGGACTGTGATCTTCCCCCTACCCAGATACCTCTGTTTCTGGCAGATTTCTTGCCCCTAGGTTGGCTTTGTACTCTTTATCTCAACCTTTTATAGTGAAAGTTGAATGTGCTGAATCATGAAACTTGACTCGAAGGGAAAAGTTATTTTGGGCCATTTATTTAGTAAAAAGCACTCTAGAGAATGCAACCCAGAAATGCACTTCATTATGATAGCTTAATGTAAGGGAAGAACTAAATAACGAATATTTCCCCTTTGTCATCTTCACTTGGGAATGATTTTTAATGCGAGCCAGCATGAAACCATTTAAGCAATATACAATATTTTAAGATATGAAATTACCCATGTTTTTAATAGCAACTCACATGTATTGGATGTTATGTGCCAGGTGCCTGAGACAGGCAAGAGTTCAGAAAAGCTAAGGGACGTGTCCAGGGCACACTGTGAGGAAGCGGTGACTCTGGCCCTGTGCTGGACCTCAGAGCTGCGGCTGTCACTGAGCGGTGCCCCTTCACTGCCCTCCTTTCTGCATGAATAGTTGATTAGGCTGGGCCCTGCTGCCAGCGCAGAAGCGAGCAAGGCCCTGCCCACAAACAGCTTGAGCTTCCGGTGAGCCAGGAACGTGAGAGTAACAGGAAACAGCTTTGTGGTGTTTGTGCTGGGAAAGGCCTGACAGATCTGCCAGTTTAAGCCCAACTCTCTCGGGCACGTAAAAATCAATGTCCATTTCATCCATCGTTGTCCGCATATGTATGCTTTGTCACTGGCCACTGTACCGAGAAATGTAAATTCACAATCAGTATTTAAACCTGTTTCAATATTTACTTTTATCTCTTTATCCATAACAAGCATTGTGTCTTGTGGCCCCTGCTAACCAGCCAGCATGTTAGGTGTGAGACAAGGCGGGGATTTAAGAGACCCAAAGAGGCATGCTGGCCCCGGGCACAGGGGGAAACAGCAGAGGTGAGACTCAGCCACCCACCTAGAACTCAGAACTTACTCCTGGGCATTTTCAGGGGACAAATGGTTTCGCTGATTGTCGGTGTGTCCCATTCTGGTGGGAACCAGGACCATACATGGATCCCCCGGCCCCTTCAAAACTCCTGGAGTCAGGATCCACCTGTTCTGGCCTGTTAGTTCTTAGCACGGAGCTGGGCACAGGTGTGGGCTTAACAAATAACTTGAATTAATACAGATGTGATTCAGCTTTAGAGACTTTGTACTATTCAAAATTTCAAACCCATACACAAGTCGCTACAAGTGGAAGAAACAGCTCTTCTGCTCAGAACTTGGTCCTCTTTCCGCACCTCTTCTTCATTTCCTCTGTGTGATTACAGTGTAAGTCACGTGATACTGGTTACCTGCCCCTTGCGGCCCTCTCCTGTCGGTGCTTAAGGGAATATAATGGGTGACTCGGTCTCATAGTCTTTCACGGGGGAGACTCCTGGGTTGGAAGCCCTTGTGCTCAAGGCCCGTGATTCACCAACTGGACATGGGAAGATGGAGATGCTACACTGAGTGGGTGAGTCCTGTGGTCCCTGACGCCCTCCCAGGCATGTACCTGTCTCCTTAAGTATGGGCCTCTATATTCTTATTTCTCATCCTTCCGTGTATCTAAATCCTTGGAAGTCAATTTTTTTTTGAAGCAAAGTAAAAGTTATATTTAAAGTTACTTAAAGAGAGAAGAACTACAGGTGACTTCAGGGAGAAGAGGTGCCCTGAAAGGTTGGAGAGAAGACGTACACACTTAAAAAGTGTGGGTGACCTCAGAGAGGGATGCGCCGAAAGTCAGCTTTTTAAGACCTACAGCATGTGCCTTACACTTTAACTGCACAGAGGAAACACTGTAGTATAGGGACAGCAGTCAGCACGTTAAACACGGTCACCCCCAGACTAGGAATCACATGTGGTGGTCTGCAGAAGTTCTCCCAGGGAGGCCAAGAACAGGGGTGGGGTGGGAAGGGCTAAGCAAGGGTCCCAGAGGTCCCCCGGACTTTGTGACTTTGCAGACCCTCCCATCACGTCAATGCCCCGCCCCTGCCCTTGCCCAGTTGGGCCACGTGAATGAGCTGCTTTGGGCCCTGGACATTAGCTGTCCTGTGAGATGTTCCCGCTTCTGCTTGTATGCCTCTGCCCTCGCTGTGGGATGATGCCCAGGCCACGGACCGGGCGTGGAATAACAGATGACACAGCCCAGTGGCTCTCAGGCCCAGCCAAGGCCATCCTGGGCCAGCTGACCCACAACGTGTGAGGAAGCCCCCCAAGATCAGCAGAGACTCCCGGCCGCCCCACAGCTGTGGCAGATGTGTGACCTCCCCAACGCCCCGGTAGCACGTCACCATCTGCTGCAGTGGGCTTGTGACTTATGTATCTATGCATTGTGGCATAGATACCTGGAGGAGGCTTCCACCTGGCCGCTCAGGATCCTCCTGGCCTGAGGCGAGGGAGCCAGGCCTTCAGATTCCTGTGCCCAGCAGTCACAGGCTGCCCAGCTGAGACATGGCTTACCTGGCACTTCCGGGCCTCACAGCCTGAGGCAAAGCTTCATGATTTGGAGTCCATTGCAAAATCCACTTGGTAAAGAAGCTCAGATGCCCAACACCTGGATTTCTACTATCTGGTGATGGTGCAATGATGGGGATAGGGGAGCCAAGCGATGTTCCAGGCTGCAGGACAGCTAAGAAGGAGAGAGGAAAGGTCACACATCCCTGACTGAAAGAAAGCGGCGTTGCAGCTTCTCGTCAAGACCCAGGTGAGCCCTTGCAGACGTCGGACCTACAGAATGGTGACATAGTTACGGGTGTGTTTTAAGCCACCAAATTTGTGTCAACATATCATAGCAACAACAGACGATGAATATGCCCACCTTTGAAGCCTGGAGGTGGGGGCTCCTCACGAACACCATGCAGCCCTCAGTTGTTGCCATGGTAATGCTGCTAATGAACCTTCCCCAGTGTGGCAGCTCCAGAGAAGCCAAGCTTCCTCCCACGCGCCCCTGTGGGGCAGCCAGGCGGCGGTGCGGGTTCTGGCCCGTCCACAGGGCACCCGCCACGTGTGGCTCCAGGCCGAAAGTTCCGTTCAGGTCTGTCCCACAGGTCTTCTCTCTCTGGGGCCGGTCGCCCCAGGCCTGTGCCTCTGTGGTGATGGCCCTCTCCTGGGTCCTGGGCTCCTTTGGGGGCCTATCTCACACCCTCCCGAGAGCTTGCAAAGCCACCTCTGGCCTTCAGAGGGGCCAGTCCCCACGACGGGGCTTGACCCGGAGGCAGAGGCCATGCTCTGGCCTGCCTGGTCTCCCACTTCCCTTGCTGGCTGTGACGCACCCCTCCACCTCATTCTTGCACCTTTCTCGGGGAGCTGGCTCCAGGCACTCCCCACGAGAGAGTGACGGACCCTGAGAGGGCTAGGGACAAGGCAGGGCCCTGTTGTAAGCCTACAGAGTAAGGAAGCTGGCCTCAGAAGAGATGTCTGGACAAAGTGACAGGAGTGTTTTCAGTATTCAGGAGCCCCCAAGACCACGTACGTAGTTTATACTAGTGGAATGACTCAGTGGGGGGCATGTCATGTGAGTAGCCAGTCGGGGCTTTGAGCCCATGATGTCAGCCCACCTCTGGGGGCGGGGGGAGCTGGAGACTGAGTTCCACCATGTGGACAAATCAACTGGTCCTGCCTGTATAATGAAGCCTCACATAAAAACCCTGGACACCAAAGCTCAGTTGCTTCCCGGCTGGCACCCTCGGGGCACCCTCGGGGCCTACTGTCACACACTTTGCCAGCGGGGTGCTGCGGCCCAGGACTCCGTGCAGAGGGAACTGGGCTCCGTGCTCGGCTGCCCTTCCCGCTCTGCCGTCGGCGCCTCCCTTGGGGCTGTGGCTCCTTCGCTGCTTTGCCTGTGATAAGCAGGGTGAGAGTGGTTACCCTTCCCGAGGTCTGTGAGTCCTTATAGCACATCGAACCTGTGGGTGGTTTGGGGATCTCCCCTGAATTGGGCAGACTGGGCGGAGGGGAGGGCCATGCCCTTAGCCTTGAGTCTGGCTGACTCCAGGTAACCCAGCCCGCCCACCGACAGCAGGCCTATAGCGCCTGGTGCCTGGGAACAAGCCTCTCTTCCCGACACAGTCTCGGGAGGCAAGTCAGCTGGGCTCTGTGTGGAAACGACCCCAGAGGGAGGCTCTCGGGGCAGCACCCCATTCCTGGCCAAGCCCTGACTACACCCCGGAGGGAGCAGGCTCTCCCAGTGGGTCAGCCCAGACCTCCAAACCAGAGGCTCTTTTACTAGCCCTTGACCTTGGGCGACTGACTTACCCTCCCAGAGCCTCAGCTGACCCATTTACAAAGTTGGGGTGACGATGGAACCTCCTCAGGGTGCTGTTGCTTGGAGTAAATGAGATGTTCCAGGTTGACTTTGGGCATAGTTGGTGTGGCCACTGTCCCTGCTGTCAGTACCTTGTGGTCATTATCTCGGTCGGCTTCCTGTGCCCTCAACTGCCTGGTGGGATGTCTCCTGTCTTGTTTTGGGGTTGTTTGGTTTCCTGTCTGCAACTTTTCCCTTCCCTGACTCTGTCCCCGACTCCCCTCACATACCCAGGATGAGCCATGTAAGACTCTTTGTTCCAAGTGGCAGAAAACCAACTCACACTGGCTTGGGCAGAGAAGAGAATTTTTGTTTACTCATGTAACCGAATATTAGTCTCAGAAAAGGCTGGATGTAGGGATTAAAATGATCTCGCCAAGGGCCCCATCCATGTCCTTTGGGTATTTCTGTCTCACCCTTGGGCTCCACTGGGAGGACCAGCAGCTCCACTTTCTCCTTCTTGGTACCAGAATGGCTGCCACAGCACCGGAGCATACATCCTCATTCCCCACCATCCAGGGGAAGCAGAGGCATGTCCCCTCTGGCAGTTTCCTCCTAAGAGAGAAGTTGTTTTTCCCTCCCCTAGAAACCCTCGAGTCTGTTGGCTCAAACTGGGAGGTGTACTCACCTCTGGAAGCAGCATGGTTGAGCACAGAGAAGGCTGGCTTCACCAGGGAGAACCGGGCACACTGGCGGGAAGGCCAGCACATGTGGACCGTACAGTGCCTTCATGCCCAGGGGCGACCACCGACTGCTGCTTGCGTGAACATCGCCGTGAAACGAGCAACAGCTCTGGCTGAAAGGGGCCCCTGTCCTGAGCGTGATCGGGCAGAAGCTGCAGATTGTTCCAGAACGGTTCCAGCTTTGTCTGTGTGGCTCCCGGGCTCCAGGGTGACCACAGGTAGAAGCAGACCTGTTCTGGAGGTCTGGAGGCCAGATGGACATCACCAGTACCCAGGAAGAAGGCTACCCAGCCTCCGTGCCTTAGAGCGGGGAGACGTACATCAGCCATACTGGGATTTTGTGGATAATGAAGAGGTGGTGAGGGTCAGGGGGAAAGAGCTTTGGGCATCTCCCCCCTCTGTCCTCCCATTGGATGGAAAGCAGCTCAGGACAGGCCCTGTGTGTCTTGTCTTGATTGCCTCCTGTTCCCAGCACCCAGCACAGTGCTGACATCTCCCAGTTCATATACCTTCAATTTAGCAACTCCTGCTTGGCCTACAGACCCCAGGGGGAGCTCAGGTTGGTTAGGTCGGCTCACGTGACCCACTAGAAGCCAAGTGTGGTGGCCCCAGGAGGAGGGGGCCCTTTGAAAGATCAGCATCTGTCCTGGAAATGCCTGGTGAGGAGTGGCCCCAAAGGAAAAGATGCCGGATGAGGCTCGGCAGCCCCCCATGGCCACTCACCTGCTTCCCCACCTGTGAAATGGGAGGCCTTGCGCCCCGAGAGGCCTTACAGCTTCTGTGAGTGTAATCGCTGTTCGATTCCGCCCGCAGCAGCTGTGTCTGTGAGAGCCCCCTCGCATCCCGGTAAGGCCCCGTCTCTCCGTGGAGTGTCAGCAGAGACGGCGTGTCTCCTCTGGGTCGGGCTTTCAGGACGGTACCTGCCTCCTCCTTGATCCTTGTGACCTTCCCCTGGCTGGAAGCCAAGGTCTCCACAGCCCCAGGCTCAGAGGACAGCAGAGCCAGAGCTGGAGGGAGCCCGGGCCTCCGTGTCACCACGTGGAAGTCTCCCCACCAAGCAGACGTCACTGGACTGTGAGCAATACACTTCTCCTTTCAGCTGCTGAAATTTGGGACTTACTTGTTTAAAGCAACTGACTCATGTTCAGCGAATGTTCCTGGTGACCAGCTTTCAGTGGTCAGGAGAAGGATGTGCTGCCTCGGGCTGGAGAAGTCTGCTCTGCAGACGGTGACGGCTCTGTCTGCACTGGGAGTGGTCCTCTAAGTGACGCTGCGGCTGTCTCAGGGCGCCCAGCGTACAATCTCCCTGGGGAACCTGCAGCTCTGTGTCCCATTGGGTGGCAACACAAAGAGCAGCAGCTTATTTGTAAAACTGGAAGTATTTATTGTTTAATTAAAATACTATATAGTACCAGCTTACAGTAAACAATTTGGGAATTACAGAAAAGTACAGAGATGAAAAACAAGTCGGTGTTAATTGTTTGAAGTATTTACATCCAGTTTTAAAAAAAGACATGGAGATGAATGCTTTTCCATAATTGGACATGTATTGTGTGTTCCTAAAATTGTAATAGAAAATAGTAACAATAAGAGACTTCTGCCCCCAGGAAGATGGAGTAGATGTACTTTGCTATATTCCTCCTCCTAACCACAACAAGAAGCCCTGGACCTTATAAGTAAAACACAGGAAGACTGTAAAGATGGTGAGAAGAGGAAAGACGAGCTGGGGACCGTGGATCCAAGGAACCACATAGTGGTGGTTTTCCCAGAGTTGGGACTGAAGATGCTGGCAGGCCAAAAATGCCACCAATGGCACAGTTTAAAAACAATACAGAACAAAAAACCCTGCTCTCTCTAAGCAAATGCCTGGGAAAGGAGCGGTCTAGGGAGAGCAAGAACCTTCAGACAGTGCCCGATCTGCCCCCAGCAAGCAGCACAGAGAAATGGAGCCCCAGCCCGCCCACCGCAGCGAGGGCTGAGCGGGGAGCCCAGAATCCCGCGCTGCAGAGGCTGTAAGGGGGCCCCGTGGGGCACTACCACAGGAGGCCTAGTGGGGGGTCAGAGCCTTTACCATTACCCAACAGGAATGAGGCCATGGCCTCTCCCAGTAGCATGAGTAGAGGCAGGTGGGGGGCAGCAGTGAGGCCCTCCCTCCCCGGCAGCCAGGGAGGTATCTGTGGAGGCTTTATGGGCAGCCAGAGCTCCCACTCCCATCCAGTAACGAGGAGTGTCCCCCACTGGTATCAGTGGAGGCGGAGTGGTAAGCGGGGAATCCCCCACCATACCCAGCAGTGATGAGACGAGGCCTCCGCTTCCCACCACCAGAGCAGGGTCAGGGCAGGCCGGCCGGAACAGAGCGTCTGACAAGATTCAGAGTCTGTGTGCACAGTGACCGAAATGCCACCTGCATACCCGCCCCAAAACAACAGCTAAAGGAAATTCTCTGAACAAGAAATTCTTTGGAACGTATAAGATAAACATAGAAACACGATAGTTAACTCAAAATGAAATTCTAAAATGTGTTCAAAGAACCCAGTGAAAGATATGAAAGAGAGAACAAATAGAGGGAACAAACTGAAAACAAAAAATAAAATGGCAGACTTAAGCCCTAAAATACAAAAATCACATTAAATGTGAACAGTCTAATACAACAATAAAAAGGCAGAGATAGGCCAACGAAATTTTAACAACACGACTCAACAATATGCTGTCTACAAGAAACTCACTCCAATTATGTTATAGTCAGGTTTAAAGCGAATGGATGGGACAACATATCATGTAAACATTAATTAAAAAGAAAGCAGGATGGGCTATACTGATACCAGGTAAAGTTCAGCCACTTTGGAACACACCCTGGTAGTTTCTTTAAAAACTGAACATGCAACCATTATACAACCTGGCAACTGCACCCCTGGGTGTTATCTCAGAGAAACAGGAATTGTGTCCATACAAAAATACATATGCAAATGTTTGCAGCAGCTTTTTTCATAATAACCAAAAGTGGGAAATGGCCCAGACATCCTTCAAAGGTGCGTGTGTAAACCAACCATGGTGCGCCCACACCATGACTGCCGCTCAGCAGCGAAGAGGTAGGTGTCTATGCGTGCAGTGACCGGGCAGCTCCCCAGAGCTTTCCGCTGAGTGAGAAAAACCCAGTTCGCACACCAGACGATTCCATTTACCTGGCATTCTTCAAAGGACAGAACTGTAGAAAGAGGCAGTGCGTTAGTGGTCCCCGGGGTAAGGACAGGGCGGAGGCAGGAAAGAGGCATGTCTACAGGGGCAACATGAGGGTGCCTGCGGCGGCGGCAATGCTCTCTGCCCCGACATTACGCCGTGGACCCCCTGACAGTGACACACAGCTGTTACCACTAGGGGAAAATGTGTGAAAGCCCCATGGGAGCAACCCTGTATTGTTTTGTACAACTGGGTGTGAATTGACAATGAGCTCAAAAGTAGAAATTGAGTTTTAAAATAATGAGGATAGGTAAGTTTTCTGAGCACTTGCTGTATGTCAAGCGTCACCTTTCAGTTCCCACCAAAGGCCTGCAGGCTGGGGGTTACTGTCATCCCATTTTACCGTCAAGGAGAGTGAGGCTTAACAGGGACAGACAGCCCTCCCGGGGTCCCCAGCTAGTGGCACTGAAGCTGGCATTCTGACCCAGGAAGTAGTCTGACTCTTATCCGCCACTGGCTTCATAGCCCCTGCCCAGCTCAGCCTCCACCAGCCTTCCGTGTGGGCCCCGCGTGCTGCGTACCCACCCTCCTGGCCCTGCTCGGGGCCTTCCATGCAATCTTGCCCTCTGTTGGTCTGAAAAGGCAGCACCCACCGCGTTGAGCCACTCCACACTTCCGCTCACTGAAGCAGATGTGCTCTGTGCCCGTGGCAAGGCCCACTCCCTGGAATGGCTCTGTCCGCAGGGGGATGGACCACAGGAGCTGGGCACTGACCCCAGGAGCTCTGCCAGTGAGAGTTGGCAAGCAGAATGAGATCCTTGGCCCATGGGGGTGACCTGCACACTCACATGTCCAGCACTGAAGCACACCCTCCCCTGGCCGTGTACTCCCTCCCCTATGGTGTGTCCCAGGGCCACCTCCCAAGGAAGCCGGCTGCCCATGTCCCTCTGTGGGAGGGCCACCCTGGGGTGTGCTGTCAAGGAGAGCTTGGGGTGTGCTCCATGCACACGCCCCATCCGTGCCACCTCCCAAGTCTGGGTGTTTTCCCATGCGAATTTCCGGGGGCTGCTGTAAACTGCTGTCAACCCGGGTGCTTAAAACAACAGGAATGTATTTTCTCAGGCTGAAAGTCGGAGTGCAAAACCACTACCACTGGACAGAGTCAAGGCGTCACAGGGCCACGCTCCCGCTGCACCGCCAGAGAGGGGTCCGGTCCTCACCTGTGCCAGCCTCCTGGGCTTGAGGCCGCATCGCCCCAGTCTCTGCCCCTGGGCTGGGCTCCTCTTCCGTCTGTGTCAGACCTCCCTGTACCTCCCTCCTGCGAAGACACAAGAGTGCATTCAGGGCCCACTTGGGCAACCAGGAAAATTTCCCTAGTTCCAGACCTTTAATTTAACCACATACGCAGATAGGCTTTTCCTTATACAGGAGGACAACAGGGTTCAGGAGTTTGACTCCCACACCTCTGGACAGGTGTTAGCCAGTCAACGCCCCCTCCCCAGGCTGTAACTCCTGCCGGGCTCCTCCCATGTCCTCCAGATACCTGTCTGTCTGAATCTGAACTCACCGCTCCCGTCCTGAACCTCACCCACCTTGGATGTTTTAACCACAGCTGAACCATCCGTTTAATCCTAAAGCCAGAAATTTGGGTGCCATCCTCATTCCCACCACTGAGCCCAGAGACCCTGGCACCCTTGTGGGATGTTGGCACATGAGTTCAGTCAGGGTTGGGCCTCGCCTTCCATTCATTGACCAAGAGCTGCCCTGTGCTCCCCCCTGCTGGGTCTCCCTAGCTGGGGGCCCCCTCTGTCAGGCATCTGTCCGTGAAATGCCATCTGTCCCCAGGCCTCCGGCCCTGCTCCCCCCCTCACCCACCGCTCTGCCCGCAGCTGCCCCCAAAGCGCTCTCCACGTCCCCCGTCCTGGGCCTGCCCCAAGACTCAGTCCCTGGCCCAGTGATCGCCATGGGCCCCAGGCCAGATTCTGAACTGACCGAGGGTCACTTGCCCTGGATGTCACTGTCACCTGGTGTGTCCAAGTCTAGCCGCCTCTTCTCCTGTTTTGTGTCACAAAAAAATGGCCTCTTGCAGATGATGACCGTGCCGAGTGCGTTAGTCCCAAGGCCTGCTCTCTGTTTAGATTTTGTCTGTCCTCTGCTGGACTTTGTCCCACTGGGGAGGGGGGTGACTCTGTCTTGGCCACCATGGTTGTCCCCAGTTTGAGATGTTGCAAAGTGTATAGTAGGCACTTAATATCCATCGACTGACTTTTCCAGTTAGTGTTCTGTGGGCATTTTGATAATCAACATACCCTAAATATTTAACATCTACCCTCTGTTACCCGGAGGAGCCGCACCTGTCAGTGGCTGCACAGACTGTCTAATCCCTCGCCCACAGAGCTGTGAGGAGCGCTTCGCTAATGAATCGCTGACTGCGTCTCTGCTTGTTTCCCGGGCTGGTTACCTAGGAAGCCAGTTACCACCTGAAAGGCTTTCGGCCCAAATCAGTAGCAGCTTCTTCACTAGGTCAGCCCGGGGCAGGAAGGGCTGGCCGTCCAGCCTGAGCCTCCGGCCCTTCCACCTGGGCTGTCCCCCTTCCGGCCCAGGCTCTTTCTGTCCCAGCAGGAGGGACAGCAGCTCCCAGAGTCCTGGCCCCACTTGGCCTGGGCAGTGCCCTGCGTGTTTGGGTCACGTGTCCGGGCACCTGCAGCTGGCCCCTGCCCCCCTCAAGGAGCCGGGCTGCAGCTCTGATGAGGGGACTCAGGCTTCCTGGATGGCCCGCAGACCTCCATAGTGGCTACCCCAAGGCTGCAGGCCAGCTTGCCTCTCAGCCAGCCATGCCTAGCGTTTGCCTGCGTGCTCCAGTGCCCAGCAACCCTTGGGGCCAAATCCCTGAGGCTGTGCCTTGGCTTCCGAGTTGTTTTTAAAGTTGAGGTACAAGCCATGCAATAAAAGTAACCGTTTTAACCATCTGCAGCATACAATTCAGTAGCACTTAGTAAGTGTGCATTCAGAGCTGTGCAACCAGCCTTCTCTCCAGTCCTAAAGCACTTACACCACCCCAAAAGGAAACCCCGTCCCCAAAAGCAATGGCCCCCCAGTCTCCCATCCTAGTAGTTAAACAGGGAGGCCCACAGAGCGGGTGGCGTGATGCCCGGGCAGCCCACACAGGCACACCCACCCCTGAGGCAGAGTCTACCCTCGGGTCTGAGAAGATGAAACTTGCACAGCGGCCACAGATGGCACGGAGTCCTTCACACGAGGCAGCTCGGCCAGCAGGTCATTCCTCGCTTTGCTCCGCGTCTTCCCTGCAAAAGTCCCTCCAGCCCCGAGGGTGGCACCCCCACCACCTCTTGTTTGACACCACCCCGTGGGAGCGATGTCTGCCCAGATAAGCTCCTGAGCGTTGTACTGCGCCTCGGTTTGCCTTTGAGCCCCCCTGGTGATCGGCCCCTGGTGGTCGCCAATCTGCTTTCTGTCTCCAGGGACCTGACTTGCTGGGACAGCCCACACCTGAGACTCTACTCCAGGCGGCCCTCTGGGCCTGGCTTCTTTCCCTTGGCATCAGCTTTCAAGGGTCACCCCCGCTGTGGCACGGCTGGTGCCCCTCCTTGGACGGCTGAGCGCTCTGCCCGGGTGTGGACTGCCCCACGAGGGCAGCGCCTTCCTCCCCTTCCCAGGAGGCCCACTCAGCCCGTGGCCCTTGGGAAGCCGCAGGAGTCCATGTCCTTCAGAGCAAGCAGCTGTCAAGCACACCCACGAACTCACACCCGAGCAGGACTCTTACCGGGGCCTGCAGAGGGGTGAGGTCTCTGCTGTTCACGCCGAAACCCTGTGCCCAGCCTAGGCTGGCTCCCCGCTTGCTACAGGCCCAGCCTCTCCTGTGACCCTGAGCCCAGGTGTTGCGTTCACCTGGGCACAGGTTGGGGGAGGACCGGCTTTCCTGCTAAGCAGTGGTGGCCATGGGTCTGGGCCAGGACCCCCAGGGCGTCAGCCTATCCAGAGGCCCCACACAGCCGGGCGCTGGGCATGTCTGCCTCTGTGGAGGAGAGGCCAGTTTAGGGGAGGCCAGCTGCCCACGCCGTCCCGCCGGGTGTGCCAGGCCCTGCCAGCACCCGGCTCAGGCCCCCACACCAGGCTGGGCTCCGAGGCCAGGGCTGGACTCCTCATACCTGCGGCGGACTGTCCCGAGCCAGCCAGCCCTGCTGCCTGCAAAGAAAGGCCAGGGCCTGGCTCCCCACTGCAGTGTGCAGGAATTTCCTGTCTGCCCTCCAGCCACCCTGGGCTCCCGTGGTGTCCCAGGGGCTGGCCAGGCTCTGCACTGAGTCCCCAGGCGGAGGGGCAATGCCAGGCAGTGGGGAAGGGAGAAAGTGGCATCCAGGTCTCCAGGCCTGCTACCAGGTCAAAGGAAGGCCCTGCCTGAGCTCTGCTGAGGAGGGTTCTGCACTGTGGGCCAGGGCCTGCCAGCCCACCACAGAGTGAGCACTCAGGGTCCGGCTTTCCAGGGTCAGGCATGAAAACAGCTGGTGAGGGTGAGGACACTGCTGCCAGGAGCTCAGGCCGCTTGCCCCAGAGCACCCGCCCTCCCTCTCTCCCTCCCACGTCTCCCTGTCCCCTCCAGCCCCCCATTCTGCAGTGTGTCTCTTAGCCACACGGAGGGGGGCCTGGGAGGAGGAGCGCAAGCCAAAGTTCTCAGGCAGATGAGAGAGGTGGGGTCTCATTCTGAAGTGTGATTTCAGGCCAGCTGCCCCTCCTCCCCACCACAGGCCTAGACGATGCCAGGACTCCAGGCCTCAACTCCCCAGAGCCAGACAGGAACGGAGTTTGTGGCGTGAATCACGATTCCCCACAGCACCCAGGCAGCTGACTGCACAGGAGAGCCGACGGTACTCCCCCTGCAGAACCCATCCTGACTTCACAGCCGGACGTGGGCCGTGTCATGGGCTGCACTTTACGGTCTGAGCTCCTCCTGTGTCGCGGGCTTGATGATCATGGCTGGGCTGACATGCCTTCAGACGAGGGTGCCAGACCACCGCCTCTCCTTCTGTGGGGGGGGGTGAGCATGCTGGAGGCGGGTGAGGGACAGGGGGCACGAGAGAGATCGTGAAAGGAGGGGCTCCCTGCCACAGATGATTACAAAGATACAAAAAGCCAGTTTTTGTGGACTTTACAACTCTCCTTTACTACAAACAGTCCCTCCTTCTCACGTCTCCTGGGAGCAGTCTCACGTCTCCCATCTAGCACGGATCTGTCCGCTCTGCGCAGACCCCCCTGCAGCCCGGCGGCCACAGTGACCTGCGCTCGTGCCCCGGGCCTGCCCAGCCTTGCCAGCTCTGGGTGAGCCCTCCAGCCAGAAGAATCAGACTCAGCACCAGCCTTGAGGATTCCAGAATGCCAACCTCTGGGGCAGTTAGAGGAGGCGGGTTAACCACAGAGATGAGGCTCCAGCTGGAAACAGGTTCTGCCACAGCGGGTGTCAGAAAACGGTGGAGTTGGCCTTTAGAGCCATCAGGAGAGTGTGGGCACTTCAGAATCTGCCCAGCAAAACCACTGATTATAGTGGGAGCAAATTTCCAGATACACAAGTTTGGGGAAATTGACCTCTGGCTTCCCCTTTGTGCTCCTTCTAAGAAAAACTTGCTTGAGGATGTCCTCCAGCAAAGCCACAACAGCAACAAAAGGAGAACAAGAAAAAGAAAGAAATGGGATGAAAAATTTAAAAAGTTGTATTAACCCAAAGAAATTCTGGTCTAAGACTTTAGCAATCAGCCAGTACAAATCAGCCCTGCGGAAGAGTGCGATGAAAAAGCTGGACATCTTCCTAACATGGTGAGGGCAGCGTGCTTGCTCCATCAGCTGGGAAAAATAAAGGCAACTAGCAACCCCAGGATAAACAAAGAGTCGTAGAGGAATGTCAGGGGCCCGGATGAAACACCATGAGATGATTTCAACAACTGATGCAGCATGAAAAATGCATACCCATTTTAATCGTCACCTCTGCCAGGAGCCATGCTTTGTAGTAACATACTTCATTTCCTTCATGGGTACAGAAAGGAAACATATATTGATCAATTCATACTCCATGTTTATTTCTTGCTTTTGAATTATAGACTGAACATACTGGCAATTACAGGGGAGACATAGTTGCAGATTCAGAACAGAGAAGGAATGTTATAAATGCTTCCCTGGCCCCTGCCTCCCTTCTCCTTTCTGTAGATTTCTCCGTCACTCTTATCACCACCAGACACATTACTGCTTTTGAATTGCACACCTCACCCAAACTAGAAAGTTAGTGCTGTAAATCTTAGGCTTTGGTCTGTA